AGCATGTTTGGTGTGATGGGGATTCGAACCCACGACCCTCTGATTGCGAGTCGAGCGCCCTAACCACCTGGCTATGCCGGGCCCAAGCTGGTAAATACAACCTTCGTCACCAGTGATCTAGTTCGATATTAAGATCATACATAAAACGTTTTGGTAAATTATTTAGTTTTTAGTTTGATATTGAGCTGAAAAATAAATGATTTTGAGTTACCAAGCTTGACATTAAGCTGATAAAAATTGCGAGTCATTTAGTTTGATATTACACTAGTAAGTAAAATATTTTTATTAAGAGTCGCGTAATTTAATAGTAAGCGGTATAACATTTTACAGAAATAATAGTAAACAATAAACAGCTGGACACTTATTGTTTGAATATTTTAAAATTGTCAATAAAAGCTCCACAAAGAATCATTTCCAATTGGCATAAAACAAAATCTATGTAACTAGTTTGTTTAATAATCACAACTGTTGTTTGTTAATCACATAAGTCAGCGTCGAATAAATAACAAGAGAATTCAATACCAAAGTTTCTAAATTTGTTTTTTTAAAAGAAAGTCTCTACCCTAACAAACAAATGATTGGTTTTTTTCATATATCTTATTCGTTTATGGGGCCCTAAGTATCCTGAATTATAGATAGATTATACAGCAACAATTTTTTTTAACATGAAAGAATTCCTTATGTTGTCAAATGACAGCTGCGGCTTCTTTTAATTACTTACACGTCATAAAATGAATTTAGGGCGAGAGAAAATTTACATTTTAGGGGTGACGGGTTTACTGTTATTTTGTCCACCCTGTGGGTCAGCAGTAAGCTTAAGGACTTGCAACGCTAAGATCCGGGGTTCAATTTCCCGTGTGGGACAGGCTGCAGATAGCTCATTGTGTAGCTTTGTGCTAAAATACAAACAATCGAACAAACAATTACTTTGAAACTATATAATAAGATCTATCGATATACATGTCAATACTTTCAATCCTGGCTGCTTTGAAGATAAGCTCAGTAACGCAAACAAATGATCAAATATCAAATTTCGATGTTGTCATCAGCAATACAAAACTATAACAATTTTATAATGAAATCAATAATCTCGAAGTAAAAGTAGATCACATGCAGAGCGAAAAATATCATGTAATGTTTCTAATGATGGAAAACAATGATCGTGATTGGTAACAATGTAACGATGACTCACAACTTTATCATGTAGTGGTTCTAATGATGGAAAACAATGATCGTCGTTTGTAACAATGTACGATGACTCACACCTTTATCATGTAGTGTTTCTAATGATGGAAAACAATGATCGTCATTTGTAACAATGTAACGATGACTCACAACTTTATCATGTAGTGTTTCTAATGATTCAAAACAATGATCGTTATTTGTAACAATGTAACGATGACTCACAACTTTATTATGTAGTGTTTCTAACGATGGAAAACAATGATTGTGATTGGTAACAATGTAACGATGACTCACAACTTTATCATGTAGTGTTTCTAATGATGGAAAACAATGATCGTCATTTGTAACAATGTAACGATGACTCACAACTTTAT